GGGGGCAGGAGTGGGTGCGAGCACGAGGGGGAAGGAGGCCTTGGAGGGGGTCGGGGGCGCGGGAGGTCTCTCGCCCTGGTCCGTCTCGTTGCCTGCAAGTAAGCGGTGAGCCCGGCCCAAACAGGGCAAGGCGAAGGGGTTAGTGCGAACATGGCAGTACTGCGTGCGGGAGACATGGTGAGGCGTCCACAGCGAGCGAGGCTCCCCCCTCTCTTACTGGACAAGCCTTTTAGGGGTATAACACTCACACTGTGGACGCCCAGAACAAAGATTAGCATGCGTACGACACATATGTGAATCAATCGAGTGAGTACATGAATGATAGCATACACGAGGGGGCTCGAAGCTGACCCGGGGGAAATAGTAGTGCGGGTGGTAAACAGGAAACACAACATTCACTACGCGAAGGGGAGGTGCATGCAATGGTGTCGCCGCCAAGTGCTGCTGCTGAGCGGCTGGAGCTTACCTGGGTGGCCTCCGAAGTGCGGCACGGGCTGAGGGCACATCCAGAACAGGCAGCAGTCGTCGCCGTGCTGGTGGCCCAGGATGGCCTGCTGCGGCTCGCAGGGCAGCGCCGCGGGGGGCGCGGGTGCCACCGGCGGACACACGGCCTCGCAGGTCACGTTGCCGTACTCGCAGTAGCAGCGCTGGCCGCAGCCGGTCACCTGGACGGGGGACCGAACGGCGTTAGACTCCGAAAGGTCCATCTTCCGATCTCCCACATTTCACCACATTAACGCCTGGGAAGTGAAGTGGGAATGGACATCGACGTACCTTGGTGGGGATTTCGCTGAAGTTGGGGAAGCGTTGGCCCTCGTAGGCGCAAGAGCCGTTGTTGCGGCACGACACCTTCTCCGGGCAGCAGTGTGGAGGCTGCGGCACGAAGTTCCTCGGCACCGTCTCCCAGTCCAGGCACTCGGGGTCGAGGAGGTCCAGCCCGAAGTCAGTGGGGCACTCGAGCGGCGCGCACTGCATGCCGGTTGACGTGCAGGCGCAGAAGGCGAGGCAGCCGTCGTGGAACTCCTCGTCTGCAACGGGATCATGTTCAGGTGAGTCACGGCCTCCTCCGGGCCCCCACGGACGCGATGTTGGCCATGCAGCTGGATTACTCACCGAGCGCGTATCCCTTGCCCTTGTAGGTGCACGCGGCCGCGGAAGGGGTCGCCGCCGAGGTGCCGTTGGCGGCCGCGGGGGCCGCGGTCGTGGAAGGCGGCGCGGCGGACGTGGGCGGCCCGGCGGGCAGCGACACCTCCACCGTGTTGCCCATGTCGGCGGACATGGGCACTCGCAGCCGGATGAAGTACGTCCTGTGTACCGCAAGGAAGAGGTAAGTGGCGCCGTAAATGTTATCCCGTTGCAATTCCGCCTCCGAGGGGAGGCCTGCGCGCACCCCGAGCCACGACACGATGTCGTCACGCACCTGCCCGACTGCAGCGCAGAGATGACGGCCGCGCCGGCCTCGTGGACCACCTCCTGGCGCGACCACACCCGGCCGTCCACGGAGGCCTCCACCGTCACGTTGTCCGGGAGGTCGCCGCCGGGGAAGGACAGGCGCACGGCCGTGCTGTTCACCGCCTCGGCGCCGCCCAGCTGCAGGCGGAGGGAGAGGGCCGCCTCCTCGGCACCTGGGGGACAGGTCAGTGACGCGTTAGTGACACGTGTGTGCGAACGGGCCGACGACGACGCGTGTTGTGTTGGTTTTGACCTTTTCGCCGCGTCGTCGCGCCGTGTGTTAGAAAGGGCGGTGGCGCCATTAAGTGCAGAGGCGGAGTGTGGCGGGGCGGGGCGTGGCGTGGCGTGGCGGACCCCGGAGGGGACCACGACGCGCTTGTGCCTCTACTCACCCATGGCGGGCTTGGCCACCTCGTCGCCCAGGGTGACGTCACACAGCACCACGGTGCAGCAGGGGTCGGCCGAGTCGGGCACGGCGACGCAGCGGTCCGACATCTTGGCCTCGGTCGGCGGACACCTGTCAGTCAAAGAATCCCGAGCGGCGGAGTCACGTGCCAGGCCAACATTTCGATTGCGAACAAGTCCGAATAATATGTAAATGAAAAGAATGAGCAAGGTGGACCGCCTCGCAATATGAGAGTGGCGTACAGTGTAAGTACGCGCGTGTGTGTACACACCGCACGCAGAGTAAATGAGAGCGAACGCACGGGGCTTACCTTGGCTTACATGTCACATTGCCCGCTTCGCCGCAGTTGCAGGTGGACTCGCAGGCGTCGAAGAAAGTCTGCCCTCGGCTGTAGGTCTTGTTCTTGAAGGTGCAGCTCTCGGCCGGCGGCTCGGGTTCTGCCAAGGAGAAGAAGGAGGACGCACCTCGTTTTCAGTCGATTCTATATAATTTCCCACAGCCCGCACGGGGAAGATGGAGTAGTAAGTGCATTTGCCAGGAATGGAAGCGCGGCCATGATATGCGTTGGTTTATGTTTATTCTGTCCGACCCACGCCTAGTTGCGGCGCCGCCGCTCCCAGTTTGGAGGGGGCGGCGCCGCGCTGCGCCGCGCCGCGCGGAGCCTGGCCTGGAGGAGCGAGCGCGTGGCGTGCTTTACTTTCCCAACAGATTTGCACCGCGATGGCCCCGCCGGCGGCAGAGGCCCCGGCCCCTGGCGGCGGGGCGAGGCGGTCTCGAGCCCGGGCCCTCATTTTTGAGGCTAGCTGCAGTAAAGTAAAAGAGCTGCTTTCCCACGCGTTGAGCGAATGATGCTCCCCCTCTCGGTAATTGCGTTTGCGCGCGCGGTAGTCTGGGCTGGGGCGGGCGCGGCGGGCGCAGCCAGGGCGCAGCTCGCTCCCCAAAGTGAGGCGCCGCCGCCCACACCGCAGCGCCGAGCAGTGCCGCCGAGCCGGGAGAGAAAACAACCTCCACTCATCGCGTGGCGAGAGACTGATGTGAGAGAGGGAGGAGGACGCGGTGCGATGGCTTGCGGTGTATGACGAATTGCCTACCCGACAGGCGCTGAGAACCTCTTGCCCGAAGCTAGGGCCGGCCGTTTGCGGCATTAACGCGCACTACTACGCCGAGCGGGTTGTAGGTGGAAAGCGGCACTCTGACGCGGGATGGGATGGCGGCGAACGGGTCGCGCCGTATTTCATACCCAGAGAGCGGGTCCGCGGGTCCTGCTCACCTGACTCGCTGGCGCACACCATGAGCACGCAGCACGGGTCGTCCGAGTCCTTCTCGACGCAGAGGGGGTCGGCCCGGGCGCCTCGACGCATGAAGGGCGCTTTGCACCGGGGCGAGCACGAGACGCTCCCGCCCGCGCACGAGCACATCTGGTCGCACGCCTTGGAGAAGCGCTGCCCCTCCACGTACACCTTGCCGTCCGTGTCCACGCAGGTGGGGAGCACCGTGGACGGCACCACCGCGCCGTCGAC